TGTCCAACGCTGGCGCTGGGACCCTGGCATGAACCTCAGTGGCTCTGGTGTTTGGTCATTCTCCTCTTTGTTATGCCACCCGAGTTCTTCCGCTGTCGTTCTGGAAGAGGAAGACCCACCTCGGCCTCGGCCTCGGCCACGCTTTATGGGATTTACAGCTTTTTTCGATGCTTTTCTTTTGCTGGGCAGCTCAAATGATGGTTCAGAATCAGAAGATGCAGAGGGAGGCTGAGTTAGTACTGGTTAGTACACGGTCCGTGATCGGCCCGTGCAAGGTTCGTGATGAAGAGCCGGCCCCCAGTCTGACTTGAGACCGCCCCCGTGATAAATAAATGTAATTATTGTGAAGCCAGCTGCAATGGATCATTGATCCACCAGGGGGTGCAGTGGGGTTCCACACTGGACCTCATGTGAAATCAACTTCGATACAGTAAGCTGGATGTACAGTATGTCTGGTACTACTGTATAGCGGATCTTTGTTAAGATCCATATGTCACGGATAGGATCATAGTCTGTGCTAAATAAGACATGTAATCATTTACAAAACATCACCATGTTGTTATTTAACAAAATAATGTTGTTTAGTCGGAAAAAACGAACGAGAGGAAATGCAGCCGGCTCTCCCGATTTTTAATCCTAATTTAATCATCATCTTCACCACGATTATTTATGTTTATGTTCGCCGAATTGACATGAAATCACTGACAAATATGAATATTCTGTATTCAACTTCATTGAAACGACCAGGATCCCTGGGTGTTATTTTTCCCCACAATGACCAAGTCGCTGCAAATTATCCCGCTTATTACATGGCCACATTCTCAACAAAGTAACGACATGACTCCCAATCTTAATTGAAATGCTTTTATGGATTTAGAAAATGTTTTTATTGATTTAAAAAATAGTTGTATGTATTGATTTAAATTGACATGCATCCGCTAAGAGAAATAGTCACTTGACACAGTGGCTTTTTGCAAAGCAGAAAAAGAACACTCAAACCGAGAGATGAGTTATTATTACAACTTGACTTCACTATTATTTAACAACTGTTTTTATTGGGTTCTTTTATTTGGGGTTAAGTATAGGTGAATTGCACTAATGTGGGAAGATCGTGATGTCTCCTCCGATCTGCTTTATGATCTTCTTTCTCCCGCTGTGTAGATTGGGGGACCGCCGTCCTGTCTTCAATGTTTGACATCGCGTGAAACAGAGGATTTCGACATTCTGTATTCATTGCTTACTTCCTTAAACCTTTTCTCCTCCTTATCTCTTTCATGACTTTTTATTTAATGCTTTATAACAGCTGTAATAGTTCGTTTAGAAATCCTAGAAACACTTTTACGGCAGTTCTCATTTACGGTAACTCCTTCTGACGTCATAGCTACCCACGTATAATATATAAACAAAGTCTTGGCTTTCAGAATATGAAACTTTTATTTACAAAATCACACGATAAATACATTTGTGAAGCTTGTAAAGGGAAGATGACAGGCACCTTTCACTCGCAATCTGCTCTGCCGCAGCGCCACCTCCCTCCCTCCGGCTGAAATTATGAATGTACAGTAAGGCATATAGTAATCATAGATAACACGGCAGGGTCCGTTACAGTTTGTTTTCATCTGATTTCAAATAAACAAAGTCTTGGCTTTCAGAATATTAAACTTGTTTCGGCAAATTTAGATGATAAATACAACTATGAAGCTTGTAACGGCATAATTACAAGCGGAGAACGGAGTAATTTAACATTACAGCAGGCATAACAACAGCCGATGTTTATTTTATTATCATATATAGTCGTTATTCATTTGTTTTAAAGCTCAATAAGGAAGATTTAAACTTTCACACACGATGACCGGCGAAAAACTCTGCCCGGTTCCCTCGGCCCCCACCACGTTAAATAAACAGAAGGCTGCTTTTGTGGAGGAAGTTACAGCGCTACGTACAGGCTCGGCATATGTACTGCAGCTTTTTACAGCGGTATCCATAAATCTCTTAATTTTGCCCTCAAAGTGCACCAGATTGATGCATTTAACTTCAATATAAAGAAAAACATCTTCTGTTGTAACAACAATAACATTATAAATAGTAACATAGCTGAACATGGTATTGCACATTTAGCTTTCAGTGTTACTGACCTGAGATGTTTTTATTACATGAATTAAGGTGACTGAGGCTTTTTAACATAGACTTTTCAGATGTCTGAGTGTAATATCTGCATTTTCTATTTTGGTTTGATAAGGACACATCCTGGGGATTGTGTTTACAAACATTGACCATACCGTTCACCATCCCCCACCCCCCTACTGTATGTTGATTTTTGACTTTGTTTGCCTACATGTAAATGGGTGGCATTTAGTACCTACCCCCCTCTGAGTGAATACCTGCTTAGCTACTTGGCACTCAGTACAGATATGTCTACCCTTTCTTCTTAGAGTTAGCCAAGAGGCTATTTTTCATCTGTAGTTAGTTAGATTTTAAAAGTCAATCTAAAACACATTTCATTTTAAACAAGTAAATACAATACATTTAAAACATGCAACATACACTGTAAACAAAATCTGTAATCTAGGCAGTAAATTGCTGTATTACCCACAGTCATTTACTTTGAATTTGTAATACAGTGTGATACTGTACATTATGCTGCACTGTGGGAATATTATCCTTAGGCGGGAAATGTATGTAAGCTGGAGTCTGAAATAAGCTGCTCCATCTGTATGGGCAGTATCTTTTTATTTTTTATTTAACCTTTATTTAACCAGATAAAAACATTGAGATAAAATCTCATTTTCAATGCTGACCTGGCCAAGAAGGCAGCAACGTTACACATAACACATAACACAAACATATAAAATACAGAGAACATAACTAAGAAAACAAAAGACGAAAAAGCAGTCACTACATTGTGCACATTAGGACAGTAAGAAAAGTACACTACTTATTACTGCAAGAGCAGCTGGTGGTGAGGACTTCAGACAACTTCAATTTAAAACATGATATAGAGACAAGTGCCATCAGTTTTAGGCGTGATTGAAGGTCATTCCAAGACCAATGACCATAATAAGAAAGACTCCTTTTTCCAGCCTCAGTCCGCACAGCAGGTACCTGGAACCGTATCCAGGCACTGGATCCGAGGTTGTAAGAGTCACAAACTGGGGCAAATCTGACACATATGTACAGTGGAAGCTTACCTAAAATGGCTTTATACATTAATAAAAACCAATGCTGCATCCTACGCATAGTAAGTGAGGACCATAGGGTGCATTTGATATATAACGCAGTGCAGCATGGTAAAGTGGGTCAAGTTTGGCCAAAACAGTGGGACAGGCAAATCTATAGATTGTATCACCGTAGTCCAGCTGGGACAGGAATAAGCCAGAGACCAACCTTTTATGGGATGAAATTGAAAAACAACATTTAAGTCTGTAAAGGAAGCCAAGAGTGAATTTCAATTTCTTTGTTAAAACTTCAATATGGTGTTTAAAGTTCAGATTACTGTACAACCAAAAGCCCAGATATTTGTAGGTATCAACAAACTCAACAGAACGCCATCAAGGGTGTCAATGGAGAGGCAAGAGGAGAACGCTGACTTGGGAGCAAAAAGCATTGCTTTGGTTTTCTTACTGTTCAATAGCAGTTTGGATTCAAGAAGTGCATGCTGCAGCGTGATACAATCTGATTTTAAATTGGAAACGGCCATCTGCAGTGTGACTAAGCATGAAATTCCTAACTCAGAGAGCTTGCAGCGTTGTTTGTCAGCAACGTGCAGTCAGGGGAGGCACGGATTGGCCGCCGGGAGAGTCGGGACTTATCCCGGTGGGCCACTGGCCAGCTGTGAGTTCACAGAATCACAGAACGGCCGGTTCGCTTACGGCCGACAACACCCCCCCCCCGTTGACAATTCATGAGCGTCTAACTCTCTCCCCCCCCCCCCCCCCCCCCCCCCCCCCCCCCTCCGTCGCACCTTCTAACAGAGCCCCCCCACATATCAAATCCCAATTTAACCCCTGGCCTCTGGAGCAGAAATGATTGAGTTTTAAAAATGTAAGTTTTGGTTGTCTGAATAAATATATTGAACAACTAAGGGTTAATTTGCAGGATTGATTGCTTACTTAGCCCTATATCAGTATATAGCATGAATAATAATCACACATCACTCATATTTGTTATGAATAATCATTTATCATTTATTAAATAGTAAGTCGCTTTGGATAAAAGCGTCAGCTAAATGCAATTTATGAAAGCCTCACTCAGGATTTTTTTACCAAGTGTTTTTATTGCTCTTGGGGCATTAAAAACAAGATTTTAACTTTAGTTTTTTATATAATATCTGCATTTTCTCTTTTGAAAAACGAAGTCTTAGTTTGGCCATAGTTATTTAATATATAAAGACTATATATTATTGAATTACAAGATTAGATATACTTTATTTGATCTAAAATATTGATGTGTTCAAATGCTCTTCTAAACAAAACTGAAAGTCCATGAAAGTTGTCTTCCTGTTTTTGTGAAGGAAGCTCCATCTCCTGGTTAAATCCTGATATTGAAAATCTGGCAACGCCCTCTTGGAAAATAGTGGGAGGGCTTAACATTCCCAGATACTGGTCTTTGGCAGGTCTTAGGCAGGTAGCTGGCAGGTAGTAGGCAGGAAGCAGTAAGCTGGAGTCTGAAATAAACTGCTCCATCTGTAGTCACGAAATACAATTAATCTATTGATAAGTGTTCACCAACACGATGTTCCCATTGTTTACTTGTCTCACAGAACAATGTCTGCAGAACAACAAAACAGCATCCATTTTGCGTGTGTAATATAACAGTATATATATATATATATATATATATATATATATAGACTGGGTTGATATACAATACAGCTTTATTTATATAATAAATTATATAATTTGTAATTTGTATTTTTCATTTTTCAGAAGGTTCGGTTTGCGTTCACACGGGCAAAACTCAAACGGACTATAAACTTTAAACACAAGTCATGTGCACGGAAATGCTGTTCAACAATTGGTCAGACATTAAGGGGGTAAAATCGCAACGGACAGTTCAAATCAGACAACGTGCGATAAAAAAACATAACACTGAGAGACGTTCTGCAGTCAGGAGGAGGTTTCACCGACGACAGGTGGCTCTGACTTTTATGTATAGTCGACGGAGCAATTTTACTTTTACACGACACTGTTCAACACTTCGTTCAGCTTCACTCTTTCGCTAAAGATTTTGAAGACATCCGCGTTCTTGTGACTCGTAAATACTACGCTCCTATGTTTTGGTGCGGACTGCGTTCACACCAGAGATTAACCGCTCAAGAGTTCACTAGCAAGCGGTCCGAGACCACTTCTTTTAGGTGGTTTAGTTCACTTCAGAGGCCTCAGACTGCGACCCAAACAAACCGCACCAAGCGGCTAAACGCACCAGGGTTCGATTCCACCGGACTAAATAAGGCTGGTGTGAATGCGACCTAAAACTCCAAGTGGTCCTCACAATGATAGCCGTGCAAGACATATGCAAACACACATAAACACATCTGTGAGGACCTACATAAACAAAACATGTTTGCCCAACCTTTAACCCCTATGTTAACTAAAGAAGTGCTTTAGCATTCATTGAAGGTCTGTACCAAATATAAAGAACAGGCCAAAATGTCCTCATAATCCATAAAGGCCCGCACAACACACAAAACCCAAATTGATCCTCACAATGAAAGTCTAAAAAACACACACACACACATACCTGTGTTTGGACATTTGAGAAGGACAACGAGAGGCTGTCTGTGGATCACATGTTCATCATTGTCTACGTACTGGCAGGCCTCTAATATCTGCACTTCCTTCTCTCTAAAACACAAAGCCACAAACATGTACTGTATTATAAAGCTTATAAACACACATGTTATGTTTTGTTTGTTTATTAATGTATTTGTATTAGTTAGTGAGATATCTCATAAACCACTTGAAGTTTTCTGATAAAGCCTTGGCCCAAGAGCACAATCTGTTGATTTGTAAAGCCTATGATGTTCTGGGTCTTAGCTACCGAACCATAGACAAAAAATAAATTGTAGGACTAAAAAGATTTAAGTCAAATGTCTCAAAGAAGAGTAATGTAATGTGTCACAGATTCCACACAGTTTTTCAATAATAAGTATCCAATTTAATGTGGCTGTTACCAATTTAAGACATATTTTAATTCCTGTGAGACATAACGCTCATATAGCTCAATTATTAGATTGATGTGTACTGAGGCTTGGTCTGAATCTAGTTTGAAGACCATTTGCCGTGTGTCATCACTCCCCATTTCAAGTCTGTCCCTAAAAGGTCTTTAAACCACATATAGGATTGTCCAGGATTGTCTGTTCTTGTGTTTCTGACCTGTAGAAGTAGACAAACTTCTCCTTGTAACGATTTGGTCCCAGAGATTCACTGCACAGCATGTCGTACGGATTACTTTTGTTATCTCTGTCAGAAAACAAAAACAACTGATTATCTCTCACAATCATCAATTTCTGTTTTTGTTTCATTTTAGATGCCCCATAAGATGTCATTAGTTTTTAGCCACATAAATGAAAATGTTATTGTCAGAGCAGACTGGGCTCTGGTTTCAGACAGAGGGTAAAAAGAGGTGCTGCAGCACAGGCAGTATGAGAAAAATAAAGAGCTTTTTGAACATTAAAGCATGGAGAAATGTCACAGTAGAGACAATAAATACTCATATACACCTGAACATCAGCAGGAGAGGACTCTTTAAAGTAGAGACACTACATACTGATATACACCTGAACATCAGCAGGAGAGGACTCTTTAAAGTAGAGACACTACATACTGATATACACCTGAACATCAGCAGGAGAGGACTCTTTAAAGTAGAGACACTACATACTGATATACACCTGAATATCAGCAGAATAGGGCCCCTTTAAATGAATGTGTGGAGAACTCACCCATAGTCATTAAGATGTGTGAGGAAAGTCTCCATGGCCACACCACTCACATCCATCACCTCCTCCAGCAGCACCACGCTGTACTGAGACACAATCTGCAAAACACAACCACAGAGAAAAGAAAGCATAGAACTAAAAGCACTTTTAACATGTTATAAATGTTTTCAATGCATAAAAAACAGCTCCTTTCCTTTAATTTTCTCGCCATGTACAAAAACATTAACTGAAATATTACACTCAACAAACTTGTGTGGTTCAGCACGGTGAGTTACCTTAATGATAATTTCCCGTACGTCCTTTTTGTTGACTTTAGTCCTTCCCAGTCTCTTCACATTGAAGGCAGCGATCTTCATTTTGACTAAAAATATAAATCAAATGAATTTCATAGATTTAAACCGATACACCCAACATATTATCAAGGGCAGTGGTAGACAGTAACAAAGAACATTTACTAAAGTGCTGTACTCAATTACAAGGTACTTAACGAGAGTATACTGTATGTCCAATTAAAGAAACTCTATTATTTTACTCTTCATCCAATACCTGCCACATTTCCTTACATTTTCTCTATTAGGTTTCCATTTATGGGAGAAATAATCTCTGTCGCTAACAAATGTTTATGATACTTACATGTTTAGTTCAGCAGGATAATCTGCACATATTAACACCACTCTATGATTTTTGAGAAATGCAATAACCAGAAGTAAAAAGGATATCAAAGTAAAAGTCAACTTTATTGTCAATCTTTCAGTTTGTGTGTACAGACAGAGAGATCGAAATACCATTTCCCACAATCCTGAATACAAAATAAAAATATATATAAAATAATGTATAAAATATGTATGTCCTATAAATAGACACTGGATATTTACTGATTTTAAGTTAAATCTCTTCAGCTTGTGTTTAAGACATAACTTTTTTTTTAATTCAGGTAAATACAAAAAAGATATCGAATAAATACGAAATTAATGAATTAATGCTATTTTATTTCAATTTCCGAATTATTTTGGACTGTTTATTATTGTCTTAATTTCTCTTATGTGCATTGCCTTGTTTTTTATGCTGCTGCAACGCAAATATTTTCAAAATTGGGATCAATTAAGTATCTATCTATCTATCTGTCTATCTACAGATGGAGCAGCATATTTCAGACTCCAGCTTCCTGCTTCCTGCCTGCTACCTGCCAGCTACCTGCCTAAGACCAGTATCTGGGAACGTTAAGCCCTCCCACTATTTTCCAAGAGGGCGTTGCCAGATTTTCAATTTCAGGATTTAACCAGGAGATGGCGCTTCATTCACAAAAACAGGAAAACAACTTTCATGGACTTTCAGTTTTGTTTAGAAGAGCATTTGAACACATCAATATTTTAGATCAAATAAAGTATATCTAATCTTGTAATTCAATAATATATAGTCTTTATATATTAAATAACTATGGCCAAACTAAGACTTAGTTTTTCAAAAGAGAAAATGCAGATATTATATAAAAAACTAAAGTTAAAATCTTGTTTTTAATGCCCCAAGAGCAATAAAAACACTTGGTAAAAAAATACAAGCTGTAAAAATACTTATATGTATTTAATTCTAATAACATAATGATTAATTTCAGATGAAAATACTTTTCAGTGTCTGTCTCATGTAGCAGCTGACCCGGCCGACAGTAAAAATAAACATTTATAACTAGTTTAGGTTGTTTGAGAGGTAATTAAAATAGCTAAGGGTGATGATCTGACTTGAAGTGTGTGTTTTTGCTCCTAATTAAATGTGTACAAGATGTGAAGTCAACAGGTATTCACTCAGATGGGGGTACTGTAGCTACTATTTATTTTCAAATGCATATAGGCTCAGTCAAGAATTTGAATGGGATGGGGAGACGTGTGTGATTAAAAATGAGTGTCCAAACTATGGCCAAACTAAGACTTAGTTTTTCAAAAGAGAAAATGCAGATATTATATAAAAAACTAAAGTTAAAATCTTGTTTTTAATGCCCCAAGAGCAATAAAAACACTTGGTAAAAAAATCCTGAGTGAGGCTTTCATAAATTGCATTTAGCTGACGCTTTTATCCAAAGCGACTTACTATTTAATAAATGATAAATGATTATTCATAACAAATATGAGTGATGTGTGATTATTATTCATGCTCTATACCAGGGGTCTCCAACCTTTCTTCATCTGAGAGCTACTTTCAAAAAATGAAAGTGGCCAAGAGCTACTTGCATCACATCGCTTACATTTATTCACATAGCCCTCATCAGTTGAATTAAGCTATACTTTTGTACACGTGTGAAATTGCAATACCTAAAGCTTATCAAAAATAAGGTCCAAGAAAACGAAGATTTCTCACATATTATTATGGCCCACATAATAAGTACATCACTGAACATTCACATAAGTGTCCTTAATCACCACCTTACAAGCATTTCACTCTTTTGTTAGTGAGATGAATGGCACTGCATGCAGTCCACCATAGAGGTGTATGCTGGAGTCATAGAATAGAGTCATTTAAATGTTCATCAGTTGGTCTTGTTCTGTATTTAGATTTCATTCATGTCAGAAAAAGCTGCTTCACAAAGGTATGTAGAACAGAACCAAATAAAGCAGACATTTTCAGTGCTGCTTGGTGAATGTTCTATAGTTTTCGGGGTCTACAAGGCTCCAGAAATGTTGTGAGTTTTGCTGAGACTTAAGCGGAACATTATTTTGGAGATCTCCACAGGATTGACACTGAACAGTTGTTCAGCCATCTTTTTCTTCTTCTTCTTCGTCTTGACATTAAATTATAAACCATAATAAATTAATTGTATAGGTCTAGCCTCCCTATATCTGTGTGTGAAAATGGTTCCATCCTCAAAAACAAAAAACTAATACTTCTGCAGTCTAGCTGCAGCTTCTAGCTACAGTCTTCTGTTTAAAAAAAAGACACTGAATGTCTTGAATGCATCACACACAGGACTTGAGTCTGAAAACAGCAGGAGTATTTACAATAGCATTATAAAAACAAAAATAGTGCATGTGGGTGCACACTTACATTATCTGTCTTACTGTTACATAAATCCCATGAATGTATGAGATTAAGTTAGCTTCATCATATCTCAATCAGTGATTAAGTGAATAATAAAGTTTTTATCGGGTCACTATCAGCCTGTCACTCATTATTTTCAGGGAGGGGGCGGGGTTTGGAGGAACGGAGAGGAGACGGTGATCGCGGAAGCTTTCCTCCTGCCTTCACAAACTTTACACAAGTATTTATCAACTGAAAATAGCAAGAGGACATTCATACTCTGCAATCCAAGACTTGATTAAATCCACCAAAAACCTGACATGACGATAACGAGTGTTTTTCAAAAAACACAAATCCCTCCCTGTGTGTCTCTGACGCGCAGCGACAGGGCCTGATTCAGAGCGGGTCATTCTGCTGTTAGTTCTGGACTGGTGTTGGTGGAGAAAGCAGACTGCTCCGTGTGTGTTGTCGCTGTGCTGCTGTCACGTCTGTTCCTTGATCTCTGCGTCACCGACCATTTGATATTCGTGTGACAGAAAAAATTCTAAAATAAAAAAACGTTATTGTCCACCCGCGGCCGAAAAATCAATAAGCAACCTTACTACGCTATAATCAATAATCGAGCGGCGAGCTACTGAAAAGCTGCCCGCGAGCTACCGGTAGCTCGCGATCGACGTGTTGGAGAGCCCTGCTCTATACTGATATAGGGCTAAGTAAGCAATCAATCCTGCAAATTAACCCTTAGTTGTTCAATATATTTATTCAGACAATGTGAGTAGAAATACAGAAATTCTGCTCCCACCTAAGGCCAACGTTGCAATATTACAACATTTCCCTAAAAACTTACCAAAACGTAAACATTTTTAAAACTCTTTCATTTCTGCTCCAGAGGCTATACAACAACATCTGAAAGGTCAAAAAAACAAACAGGGCTAGACAGCCATTTGTAGCATATGGGAGAATGGTGATGTGAACTCAACACGTAGTCACTCAGAGGGGGGTACTAATTATTTTCAAATGCATATAGGCAATGCCACCCATTTACATGTACTGTAGGCTCTTTCAGTCAAGAATTTGAATTTGAATGGGATGGGGAGACGCTCTGCCAACACTGACCCAATCTTCTGCTCCTTACAACCCACTCACTGCCTGTGTTTTAACATGTTTTAACATGTTCTTTTGTTTTGAAAAGCTATTATAACCTCGGTGAGATCCCATTCACCCAATACACCCAGTGGTGTTAACACATATTCATTGTGACGTACAATGGAAAAAATGTCATTCCTTTCGTACATTTCTGAATGAGGCCTAACATTCCGAGGTTATTCTGTATTTTCTGTGTTCTTGGTCATTTTCCACGGGGGCGTTGGGAGATGGCACATCAGCATAAATACAGCACTGTGACACCACACCTCGGCAGGAGCCGAGGTAGCGTGCAAACCATAGGCGGCTACCCTGAGTTAGGAATGTCATGCTTAGTCACACTGCAGATACTGCATATACAGATGGAGCAGCTTATTTCAGACTCCAGCTTACATACATTTCCCGCCTAAGGATAATATTCCCACAGTGCAGCATAATGTACAGCAGGGCTATTCAATTGGCGGCCCGCGGGCCAAATCCGGCCCCGGGGTGATATTTACTGGCCCTTTGAGTATAATGTTAAAAAGTCATCAATTTTTTTTTTTTAAGTTTTTTTTTTTTAAGATTTTTTTTATTTATTTTTTTTGTGCCATCGTGCCTTTATTCCAGAGAGGGTGTTACATTGAGAGATAGAGGGGTAGACAATGCCTGAAAACTTCGACGGGCTCGGGTTTCGAACCCACCTACTATACTGTAGTGACAACTCCTGTCATTGATTGCATCTCTGCGTGAATGATTAGATCATTTCACCTAAATGAAATCAAATGAAACATGTAGGCCTACTGAGTTCTGAACTTGCCATTTAGATCTATAAAGGCCTTAGGGCTATGTTGTTTGATTGAATTAAACACAATATATGCACTCCACTATGCTGTTGTAGTATTTACTGTATCTGAAGCTCTTAAATATGATTGCTCATATTTCAAGCCATCTTTTTCCCGGCCCCTTGCTTTGGATCATTTTCATCAACCGGCCCCCATTCCAAACTAATTGAATAGCCCTGATGTACAGTATCACACTGTATTACAAATTCAAAGTAAATGACTGTGGGTAATACAGCAATGTACTGCCTAGATTACAGATTTTGTTTACAGTGTATGTTGCATGTTTTAAATGTATTGTATTTACTTGTTTAAAATGAAATGTGTTTTAGATTGACTTTTAAAATCTGTCCAGGGAATAACTACAGATGAAAAATAGCCTCAGTCTTGTCTTCCAAAAAGTTTGTGACAAGAT